AGATCTCTACAGGGTCACAGCTCCCCCTTGTGGCTGCAGGGTCAGGAGTGCAAGGACTTGGTCCTGCTGCACACCAAGAGGAACATGGTGGTAAGGGTCTTAGAAACAGAGACCACTTGGGAGGGGAGAGGGTGGTAATCAGTCCCTGCCCTTCTCAATCCAGACATATTTCTCAAAATGCCCCCTTTTGAAGAACCCCATGCCCCTGTGTGAGCAAAGCAGGCAGGGAGTTCCCCAAGGTCAGGCTTCAGGCCATCAGATAGAAAAGGGCCACTGTAGGCTACTGGAACAGTGATTGCGTTGTCTTTGATGCACCTCAGCCTTAGAAGCGACTTCCATAGGAAGAGAAGGAGCTTCCACCCCAGGAAGACACCAGTCTGACCAGGACTCCCTCTGCCTCTCAGAGGGAGGCCAAGCATATGGTCCAGGCCCAAAGTTGAAGATCTTATGTCCAATCTACTTGCATAAACTTAACACAGTTTAGAAGTATATAACATGATACAGAGCCTGTACCCTCTGTTTGCCACAGCACACTACACAAACTGCTTCATAATCTTTCACATGAAATATTTTAGAAGAGTCCTAGTTGTCCTTTCTCCCTAAAATCTATCAGCCTTCTATACCACACTGCTGCCCATGTTCTTCACCCAAATGCAAATCTGATCATGCCTTCTCCATCAGGTGGGACCAACAGTAGAGATTTGCCTAGAGATTTGTGCCCAAGTCCTTCCCAAGCTCCCAGCATGGTGCATCATCTGGCTGCTTCCTGCTTGTGAGGAAGGTTCCAAGACCACAGTCAGTGGGAATGGGGACAGGATCCTGCTGCACATTTCCCGAGGGCTGCACTGTCCAAAGCATAAGCAGCTTGGATTCACTTCTCTGAAACCCTTGATTTCAGGTTCACCTGGAGCCAATGATGGACATGTTTCTTCAAAGAAAATGTATGTAATTATTATTATTGTCATCATTATTATTTATATATATGTTCATAGATAAAATAATATTTAGATTACATTGTAATGTATATTTATATATATATTATTGTGAATTTATATATTTATGTATCACATACATATTTATATTATATATTTATTTTTTTCTTTTTTGGAAATGAAGACTTTGATAATCTGAATTGCTTTTGATCATAGGAAGATTCACCCTGGCCTCTCTTCAGGCTTGTGCACCTCAAACATTGTTAACAACTGTGTCTTTATTGATAACATAATGGGCAAGGTGTGGTCATATGCACAGCAGAAGAGGACAAGGAACAGCTGCTCTATGTCAAGATCTTCAATCCTCCATCTTTGGTGGATTTGAATGACGCTAGTGGAGTCCCTGCTCAGCTGACCAGAGGGATTCTGCAGGGCTCTGTGTGTGGAGAACTCAGCTGCCCACCAGGCACCCTGGAGGCTGCTGCACACTGACACTCCATGGGGCCCACAGGAATGGAGAGCAGAGCCTCAGGCACAGGGAACTCATTGTCACCACAGCTTCCTGGCAGCCTAGCAGGTTTGTGCACAGGCAGCTGGTGACTCTGCAGGGCTGTGTCTCGGCTGCTGGCACAGAGATACAAGGCAGAGTCCTCTGGCTCCAGGGACTTGACATGAAGATTTAAATGAGCTTTGTCTGGAGATTCAGGTGAGAAGCGACTTGGAACCGTTTCATTTACAGTCATTTCCTTATTATAGTAGCGAAACATCATCTTCAGTGATTGCTTGGAGTCCTGCTTATACCAGTACATAGCATTGTGACCAAGATTTTGCTCACATTTAAGGAACTGCTTCTTTCCTGTCTGTGCGAGGAGATATTTTGGAGTCTGGGAAACATCGGAGTACAAGGGGCCTATGAAAGAAAGAAGCAGAATTCAGGAAAATCCCAGGAGCTAGTCCTGAATCTAGGCAAGGTCAATAGTACCATGTCACATGGGCCCAGGACTCACCTGATCCCAGGAGACAGAGGGCCACACAGCAGAGCAGCCTGGAGCCCATGGTAAGTCGCCAGGTCAGGACAGACTCCAGCAGAGTTAGTGTAGCTGCAGCCTCTGCCAGGGGCCTTGCTGGTGACATCACAGTTGTGACACTTTCTTTGTTCTTAAGGTCTCCATGAACTCAGCCTCCTCCTGTTCCTGTCTTGAGCTTGCTCCTGTCCCAGGTGAGTATGGAACTTCTGGAGGAGGTGTAGTGGGCTGGGCCTGCTGCCTCCAGGCTGGTCTGACAGCCATTCCTGCACCAGCAGCTCCCTCCCTCCCTCAGAGCCCCAGGAGGAGCCCCCTCTGCCCCTCCCCTCCTTTTCAGGACAGTGTCAGAATGAGGCTGGTTTCCCTGCTCTGGACCCTTCCTTTGCCGTTCCAGTAATGCTGGACGACCCCACTCGCGTCATGGCTCCCTTCAATGTCTGTTGATGCTCAGTGGCCCCTGGACCACTTTAGGCGTGGGCAGGAGATTGCTCTGAGTTTGCACCCAAACACCAGCTGCAGCCATTTACGTTGTGTGCATGTGATGACTGTCTCTGTTGATGTGACTTGATGGGACTAAGCTGCAACCCTGCTGCCTGCAATGTTCTCTTTAGAGAGGCAGAGCTGAGTGGTTCTCTGCTTTAAGAGAAGACATCCAACTGCAAATTATGGACATTGGTCATGATTTTGCTGTCCAATATTTAAACCTTTTTCTACATCTGTGCTGAAGTTTCCGTCTCTGGGGGATAGGCATGTGCCAACTATTCATTCTAGAAATGGAATGGAAGAGGTGCATGACTGCCTCTGCTCTGGTGAGTTCCAGGAGACCACAGCTTCACCTAGCAAGCGGTTTTCTTCCACTGGCTCCCTCGGAACTCAGGAGGCTGCTGTGCTGTGTGAACTGGCAGAACAGATGGAGGGAGGATCTCGCCTTCCCAGTCACATCAAGTGTGGTCACCTTGGCACAGAATCCCAGGAAGAGCCTGGCGTCACCAGATTCTGTCTCTCCTCACTGGGGCTCAAAGTGAGCTTCTAGATCTGCAGGGGGCCAAAGGCCAGGCATCCTGTCCATTCTGCCCTGATGTCTGCTGAGTCCTCTGCCTCTGACCCTGAAAACAATCCTTTTTCTTGCAGTCACCATATGAAAATCAATATACACAGCAATTCATGCAATCATTTGTCTGCAGTTGGACCTGCAGCTACAGAAATTCAGATCTAAGCCCAAAGGAGCATCCTGTTACAGGTTTGTACTTCACCTTTATAAGTATTCAGGTTAAGTTATTGACCTATTGAAAATACATCTAGCCACATAAAATCTTTACATTTATCATTTCTACTGTCTTATGGATCATAAATGTTTAATCTACAGTTCACTGAAAACAACACCACGAATTCAATACTCTAATAGGATGCATAGCCATTATTTATTAAGTTTGAAAATGACTATAAGTTATTTTTTTTTTGTTATTGGGATTGAGGTATAGATGATTGGTAGAGGAGGGAGTAAGAAAAATCCAGGAGAACTCTGAATTCCCAAACCTTGAGTTAAAGTTACTTAATTTTAATATTTAATTGCCTGATGTTCCTGCTGGGAGCAGTGATGCACATCTGTAGGCCCAGAGACTTGGAAGGCTGGAGAGGAAGGATGGCAAGTTTGAGGCTAGTCTCAGCAATGTAATGAGACCCTGTCAAAAATATCTTTTAAAAGTATATATTTATAAAAGGCTGGGGACATAGTCATGTAGTCGGTGGTAAAGCTCTTCTGGGTTCAATCCCCAGAACTAAAAAAAAAAAAAAAAAAAAAGTTTTTTTCTGCATTTTCTGGTGTTTAATAACTTCTAACAGATTTTGAAAATGTCACAAAAACACAAAAAAGTTAGTAAAATTTGATTTTGGTGTACAAACATGAGCCTTCTTAATGGATTCCTCTGCTCATTTCAAGGTGACCTGCAAGATCAACCTTCACAAGTGGGATCTGTTTTCCTGTTCAACAGTTTTCCTGGACTTTTATTTCAGGCTTGTGGTTGAATAAACAGGGGAGCTAGAGAAACATTTGGAAGCTCCCTTC